ATGTGTCTTCACAAGTCTTTTGTTTGTTTAAGTAATTTATACAGCAAAGGCTTACAATATATTATTTTGCAAACACGTTTAGACTCTTTGAAAGATAAGAGCATAGAACTGTAAACTTGTATTGCCTTGCTTGTCTGTGTGTAGAATGCTTATCATTGAATGCAACATAATTCATTTTACACTGAAATATTCATTTATTTACTCCTTATATCCAACTCACTGACACAGCTAGAAGTTATTTCCTACACTTAGACAATAAAAGATTCAACAGATACAGTCACCGAAGGTCAAGCATATATTATTTATACAAAGTTAAGTTGTAATAGCATGTAGTCTACATTAAAGCGTGTGAAAATTTGCTATGTGAGCATTCCTGCAGTTGAGACGTGTCAAGATCAAATTCAAAAGCTTTATACAACAAAATAAATCCATATATGTTTAGTTATAAAAATGTTCTATTTTGCAATTTATTCCCAAAATATTTGTGAATAAAATATTTTTGTCCTATTTTATTGCTTACTTTTTAAGATAGTTTCATTTGTAAAGTAATATTTTTTCATTCATATAATTTTTTGGTGTTATTTCCATTTTCATTTTTTTCTATCATGCTGTTTTCAAAAGAAAATGTACAGCAATATAAATTTATTAAACAGCTATGAGTGTATGTTTACGCTTTTGTAGGCAGAATTGCCAGCTGATGTTATTACTTATATGTTTTCTCCTAGTAGAGATCAAAGTGAATATGAACACATTTATGAGTTAGAAGATTTATATAACGTGAAAATGTGGCTCATTGTGCTAATAAAATAATATTCTGTCTTTATTTGTTAAATTAAAAGAAAATACAAAAAAGTAGAACGTGTGCAAGTAAAACCGTAAAGATAAAAACACTGATTGTAGAATATATGAAATGTATGATTTTAATACCGTGCCATGAACCATAAATCACAAAAAAGTACAGGCATATCCCACTTTTAAGTACACAATGGGACCAGAGCATGTATGTAAAATGAAAATTAACTTAAAGTGAAGCAATACCTTTTTTCACTTCCCAATGCATGTACTGCATTACAATAGTGATTTACAGGCATAACTGATACTGCAACTGCAGTTTACCAGTGATTTTATTTCCAGTGCTTTATTTAGTGATTTCCAGTGGGTTTTTATTCAGTTAAAACAAACCGTAAATAAGAAATCTCATTCCAGATTGTACCATTTATCTTTAATGTTTTACTCATCTGACAACCTTAAACAACCTTTGTATTTGTTAGCAGCTTAGTTGCACACATTGTTTAGAAACACTTTTTCATCACTTTAAGCATTTATGGTTTAACTATGAAACCTCAAAATTGTGGCTAATGCAGCTGAGCTGCTAAGTCTTCGTTATAGAAAATGGCAGGGTAAACCCTTTCATTGGATGGCGCCAGTTGCAGAAATGGACAATGTAGGGGCAGAAAAAAAATGTATATATTCAGCTAGCAGTAGACATGATAAATTTGAGATGATTAACCTGTACCATGTCAGAAGGTGTGAAAAGTTCTTGCCCCAAAGACACTGAACTGCTCCGGGCGAGAATAGAACCTTCCATTTCCTGTTCACTCGCAGACAGAAGAGGCGCGGGAATGTCTGTACTCGCGAGTGTACTTAAAGTGGGTGTATGTAAAGCGGGGTATGCCTGTACTACTTTCTTATTGCTTGTACTATAAGTAATCTATTGAGAGTGAGTTATTAGTTATATTTAAAATTGATTACATGTATACTAGACATAGATTTATCTTAGGTAAACATGGCAAGGGTCAAGAAGCTCAGCCCACTTCCTGAATATCTTACAATATCAGACTACTATTTCAACCCATACAGGGTATATCACTAAACACAACATTTTGTGCGGAGGGACAAAATCCACTGAAAATGGACAAAATTCAAACCAGAACACCAATTCTTATATTTACTAAAGCCTATTCCGGTCGGAATTCGCCCACCCCGAACAAATATGCACCAGTCGGCTGGATTCATTCAGTGTATGGAGGAAAATCAGTACTTTTTGCCTCCAAAACCTATAAAAGTAAAGGATTTTAAATGCTTCTAAAGCACCAATTAAAAAAAACAAAAAATCTGATCTGATCTGATCTGAATGCACATTTGTAAATTATTGTTCACTTACTTTTTGCAAGCAAACAATAATTTTAAGTACTATTTAGAGCAAATAGTTAAATAACCACCGACGGCACAAAGGTTAATTTATATGGTGGCTGGCCAGTGCTTGCTAGCCAGTCACCACATTAAAAAAAGTTAAAAAAAGTAATTCTGTGTTGGGTCAATATGACCTAGATATCATTACAAGGGTGTCTGGATCAATCAGCAAGATGAGAGGCAGCAATTCTAACAAAACAAGACAGAATAGGCATATTAGTGGACTGTAGAGTGGCCGGGCTTAATGTAAAACAGGAGCCAGTAAATAACAGGACTAAACTAGAAATATACTTCAAGCCAGAGTAGAACACAAAAAATAGAAAATAAACAAAACTGTGTACCGGACATAAAATACAGGCTGGTACAGGAACAACAAAACCTCAGACAGGCCAATGTCAGAATTACGGACTGGAACAGGGTAAACATACAAGCCAGGTATGATGATTAGTCAAAGGGGAAGCCAGGTCAATAACAGGAACTCAATACAGGGAAAACACACTAAAGGATTCAGAAGCCATGAAAAGGTCCTGAGCAGCCAAAGAGTTTTCCTGAAATAGAGAGATCCTGCAAATGATTGGCTCTAGTTCCTGGGAGCAATCAACACATAAAGGTAGCACCTGTGTTAGCCAAAGGTGCTCTGCAAAATCAATCAATCAAAGTTTTTCAGGTAAGTCAGAAACAACCTGACAACCTACTGGAATCCTCCCTGGATAGCTACTTACACAGTGGCACAGCTAGTAGAGTATAGAGTTAGAGACTGGAAGCAGTCAGAGAGTGTTTCCTGTGAAGGGGACGTGACAGATATGAATTTTGGGGGCACATCTACTAAACATTGTTGAAAGGAACATGGGGGCATAGTTCACCTTTGCCCACACCTGTGGTCATCACATGATGAATATGAATATGAAACGATGGAGGATGGGCAGATCACTTGACTCACCTGTAGGTGGAGAGGGGAGGAGGGGGGCGGTTAACGCTTGCAGAGAGCTATTTAAAGGACCACTATAAGCACCCAGACCACTTCAGCTCAATGAAGGGGTCTGGGTGCCAGGTCCATCTAGGGTTAACCCTGCAGCTGTAAACATAGCAGTTTCAGAGAAACTGCTATGTTTACAGTAGGGTTAATCCAGCCTCTAGTGGCTGTCTCATTGACAGCCACTAGAGGCGCTTCTGCGCTTCTCACTATGAAAATCTTTCCTATGGACTGATTGAATGCGCGCGCGACTCTTGCCGCGAATGTGTATTCAAAGGATGACGTCGGAAGAGGGAGTAGAGTCCCCAGCGCCAAGGGAGCCCGGCACTGGAGAAAGGTAAAAGTTTAACCCCTTCCTCCTCCTTCAGCCCAGCGGGAGTGGGACCCTGAGGGTGGGGGGGACCTGAAGACCCTATAGAGCCAAGATAACGAGTTTGTTTTCCTGGCACTATAGTGGTCCTTTAACTAATTGCTTGCTTGCTGCTAGTATTTCACGCGTGAATGACCCTAATACAATTATCCTATAATTATCTTTCACTGAATGTCTAACCATTCCAGCTGAGGTATACATAATGATGAGCATTCACTGTAGTAGGCTACATAAACTTAATCTGTTGTATATTTCTATATAAAAAAAAAAGCTTTATATAAATGTTATCTCTTGTCTATAAATAAAAAAATGACAATATTACTATAGATAACAAGAAAAAGGCTAAAAGCAGCACTGAACAGAGATAAAGTATATAACTAGTTTCTTTTAATAATATTTATTATAAGACACTGCCCCTTCCTAATCCCAAAAAAATTCTTCCCTATCAAAAGTATGCACACAGCTCAGCCACTGGCAGTAGTGAGCAATCTAATCCACAAAGCAATCTGCATTAGAAGGAGAGGATGCCAAGGAAAGGATATAGTAGTGATATCACTGGTTGCAGTATTGCTGACTGTCTGCAGTCAGGCTGTGATTTAAAAGCCACCCACTAATTGCTGTTAAAGGCTGAGCTGTGTACGTACACTGAAAAGGAAGTCCTTCTGGCATGAGGGGGTGTGGCTAAGGAGGTAGGCTTATGCTGTAGCATTCAGTAAAAAATTTTTTTTTGCAAAAACTATTGAAATTTGATCATACAAAAAATGCAGCATATTAATAAGGACAAAACCTATCAAATGCATTAAAGTTGTATTGGTGCCTGGAATGTCCTTGTAAGCCTTTCAGTCTGTTTTTCAGGGATTTTTTATTAATTCATTAGTTTAGTTTACAAACAGTTCAGAGGCCTTATCTAATCAATAAATCGGATGGGTACAGAAATAAAAATCTTACCTTTACTGTTATTAAATTCCCTTGTTTGCTTGATGCTTTATGAGCATTTTAATCCCCAGACTATATGTCTTTTGCTTCAACATTGCTGTAGCCCATGGATCAACGCAGCTAAGAGGAATAGGCCTTGACAGAGCCAGGAGGTAGGCATAGCAGCCACAGGAATTTAGTGACAGCTAGCATGCTGGGTAGGGCGGAGCCATAAGGGGAGTATTTATACCAGCCATTATGTGAAGTGGCCATTTTAACTGAACCTAAGCTTACCTGTCAGTTGTGAAAGCTGCCTGCCCTGGAGGGAGAAGGCAGCAGCATGGAGGCAGCATAGCAGAACAGGCAGCACGAAGAACAGGCAGCATGGAGGCAGCATAGCAGAACAGGCAGCATGGAGATACAGGCAGCATGGAGGCAGCATGAAGAACAGGCAGTACTGAGACAGGAGGCAGCATGGAGATACAGGAGAGGCTGGAGTGAGCTGCTACTACATGATCACTCCCATCAGCAGCATGGAGGCAGCATAGAAGAACAGGCAGTACTGAGACAGGAGACAGCATGGAGGTACAGGAGAGGCTGGAGTGAGCTGCTGCTACTGCATGCTCACTCCCATCAGCAGCATGGAGGCAGCATAGAAGAACAGGCAGTACTGAGACAGGAGGCAGCATGGAGATACAGGAGAGGCTGGAGTGAGCTGCTACTACATGATCACTCCCATCAGCAGCATGGAGAACAGGCAGTACTGAGACAGGAGACAGCATGGAGGTACAGGAGAGGCTGGAGTGAGCTGCTACTACATGATCACTCCCATCAGCAGCATGGAGGCAGCATAGAAGAACAGGCAGTACTGAGACAGGAGACAGCATGGAGATACAGGAGAGGCTGGAGTGAGCTGCTACTACATGATCACTCCCATCAGCAGCATGGAGAACAGGCAGTACTGAGACAGGAGACAGCATGGAGATACAGGAGAGGCTGGAGTGAGCTGCTGCTACTGCATGCTCACTCCCATCTGCAGCATGGAGGCAGCATAGAAGAACAGAGGCAGCATGGAGGTACAGGAGACAGCATGGAGGTACAGGAGAGGCTGGAGTGAGCTGCTGCTGCTGCTGCATGCTCACTCCCATCAGCCTCAGACAGAACTCCAAGCAAGCCACCATCCTGGTCACAAAGGTTGTGGCAGAATCGTGGCTGGTGGCTGCAGGAGCAGCTGGGGGGCCCCGAGCACGTCTGCTACCCCCCCCCCCCACGCGGCGGTGGAACAGAGGCCAGCAAGGAGAGCGAGGACGCCCCAGCGGCAGCCTGTGAGTGACATCGTTAGTTCGGCAGCCCGTGAGCCTGTCAGGAGGCGGCAAGGGGAAGGCTGAGAATGAGGTCGGAAAGCAGGCAGGAGTTGGAGGGCGGCTGGCGCCGTATGTTCGACGCGGCGCCGGTCAGGCAAGACGGCAGGTCAGGATGAGGCCGCACAGTAAGAGCGCCCCCTGCAATAAGGCGGGGGGGCGGGAAAGCACAAAGGACGGCGGAATCCAGCATGACATGATGGCCGCCAGGCAGGAAGAGCTGCAAGAGGCGTCCTGGTGAGTCTGCCCCTGGTGGCATACCTGAGTGACAGGGGGAATGATGCAAGGGCCCAGCAGTATAAAAGCGGTCCCCCCCCCCAATGGGCAGGCGGGGGGGTCCAGGTCGGCGGGACACAGACGGAGGCGGCCCTGGATGGGGCCAGGGTCAGGTCAGAGGTGAAGGAAGCGGATAGTGAAAGCAGCAGGCGGAGTCTTCACAGGCACAGCAGAGCAGCTATGGAGGGGAAGGCCAGCAACCAAGATTAATTAAAGGGGCCACAAGTGGATGAGGCGGCCTGGGAGAGGCCAGGTACTGCAAGCAGAGGGCAGACGAGAGGAAATGGACGTAAGGCACAGAGGCAAGCGGGAGCCCCCTGGGGGGTGTTCTCAGGAGCAGGAACACAGGAGGAGCATCAGCAGGTGTGAGTACGGCAGGGAGCAGCGCAACGACAATGACAGGCACAGCAGCAGCGGGAGGTCGGATGAGGGATGGAGAAGCAGGTCGAGGAGTGTTACTTCTACGGGCTTGAGACTGGACCAGCGCGGACAGGAGTCGGCATCCACCGGATACTCCAGAGCCTGGCAAGGTGGATGGAAGGACAGCGCAGACGGAGGTTCGGGCGGTGAGTCCATAAACACACCACACTTTTTTAAATTGCATAAATCATTTTAGAGTCATGATCAAGGAAAAAAGGGGCCGTCCCCGCAGTGCCGAAGGGTGGGGTCACCAGAGCGCAGTCGGGAGGCCGAAGTAAGGGTGGTGGTGACGGCGTGCCGGGTAAGGGAAGGGGAATACGGTGTACCGGTACCGGGGACATCTGACGGGGCAGGAGAACAGTTAGATGTGTGGCAATATTCCAGGCGTGGCACAACAAAATGGGCACGTGTCCTTCGCGGGGACATTGGGGGGCACTTGAAGGTGGAGGATAAGATTTGATAAAGGGGATTTAAAAAAATAAATAAATATATATATATATAAAAAATTCCTGTCTTCCGCTCGAGGAGTTCATTGATTTAAAAGGGGTGGTTCCTAATGATAGTGCAGGAAATGCGCTCTTTCCGGGGGCTGACGGCGCACCCCCAGGAGGTGCTGTGCTGGCTGGACAGAAGAAAGGTCAGTACAACTGGGGACCGTCGGGTAGGCTTCGATACGGGTGTTCCGGAGGCGGTGGGAGTCACAGTGTCAACTGACGCGTCAAAAAAGGAAAACCTAAGGCAGGAAGGGTACTCGGCAGGGCTTCAGCCCCGCGGTTGCGGCTCGGAGCGGCACCAGTGATGATCAGTGCATTGCTGCTGTGGCTAAGGCAGTAAGCCTCCCATGAATGCGCTAGTTTTATGGCTGAGATTGTTGAGGGGGTTTACGCTATTCCATTCAAAGTCGAGGGACCAGGAAAAGTGGTGGGCGAATATCAAGTCCATGGGGGAACTTCCGCGCCATTAGCGGACCTGTGGGTGTCTCCATGGGGTGTGGTCCCCTAGAAATGGGCGGGCAAATTCTGTCCAATACAAAACTTATCGCACCCAAAAGGGGCATTGGTAAATGAGGACATCGCCGCGGAACTGTTCTGTATCGTTGGCATCATTCGGCCTTGCCGTCGAGTTGGTTTGGGGGAACAGGACGCGTCCGATTATTGGCGACCCTTCCATCTTTTGGGTTGCATGTTTGCAGGTTCCTATTGGTAACCTCTACTTGCCAAGGGGCAGTTCCATTCATGTTCCTACTCGGGAAGTTGGATCCGTCTGGGAGTGGGAGGTGAAAAAGGAATCAGAAAGGGGTTCCTTAGTACATTATCTGTAAGATAGCTTGCTGTGTGGGCTCGGCTGGGCCGGGCCGTTGTGGACATACCTTACGGTCACGGGAATCCTACCGCACGTCTTTGCTTGGACTGGAAATTGTTTCGGTGGTAGGTGAGTGTCGATTTCCTGGGGTTCAGTTGACTGCACTTCGGGAGTTCAGGCTGAAGGTTCGCAGGTCCAAGAAGGTCACTGAGAAATCGCAGTTGTTCATAAGGCAGTTTCAAGTTGCATGTCGGGTTAGTCGCGAGGACTGGGTCGGTAGCCATTTCATGGCGAAGGCTACTTGTGGAGCCTTTGCGGGTGGTATCGAGTTGTTCACAGATACCTCTGGGACCATAGATTCCGGGGCATACCTGGAAGGCAGGTGGTGCGCAGAGCGGTGGTGGGAGGCATGAAAGGTAAGTCCTCTTATTCGACGTTGGCATCTTTTGAGTTATTTCAATTGTGAGTGGCTGTGGCTCTAAAAGGTGAAGGATTAAGGGATGAAAAGTCATAATTCACGCACAATACGGCGGGGTTCGTGTGGTTTACCATCCAGCCGGGTCCTCGGTTCAGGAGGTACGCCGATGGCGGCGATTCGTATCACTGTTCAGGTATCGGGTGCAGGCACGCCACGTGCCTGGTTGGCGGAAGGTAGGGGCTGGTTACTTGGCTCGCGCACAAGGGGACAAGCTGCGAATGGCGGCCCCAGGGGGCGCGGGAGGAGGGACTGTCCAGTCTGGAGGAAATGTGGCAGCTCGAGACGCCATGCTTGGAGGATCGATACAGAATCCTATCGCACCGGGCAGAGGGACTGCCTATGTGAACGCTTGAGATATGTGGGACAAGGCGGTTGGTTTCACTGTGGGGGCCCAGTCAAAGGAGGGGCGAAGGGATACCTTGCTGTGGTTCCTAAGCCGTTTGTTTGTTCAGCGTTAGCTCCATCAGCAATGGACAGGAGCATGGTGGCATTGTCGTTAGGGTTTAAACTGACTGATTGGGAGGAAGTGACGGAACGTTGTCACGTCCGTCAGGCATCGCGGGTCTTACGGAGAGATATGAAATATGTCGGTGCCGGGCGGCGGGTTTCCTTGGGTAACGCAACGCCTGGTGGTGTATTACCCTACTTTTGCAGTGAGTTTGCTTGCGGTGGCCTTCTCGGAGGCTTGGGGCAATTTGGATTGGGGAACTGGTGAGTGCCTTCGGGCAGGTGTTGGGGAGTTCTACACTTGGTTGTCGAACCTTAGTCGGTTAAGGTAACGATTCAGTAGGGTTGTTCAAGAACGAATGTGTCTGGTAAAGGAGGTTTGGTAAAGCTATATTCCCTGCCGGGGTCAGGGGTACGCCCGGTGTTAAGCGCATCATGCTACTTGGAGCTTTGCCCGGACTTCCCGGGTGGCTTACTGGTAAAAGGGGACAGATCGGTGCTGTCACGATTCAATTCCCGCAGGTGTTTGTTCGAAGGGGTTTGACAATGTTGGGTTTGGATCCCGGGCACTTTGGGACCCATTCTTCCAAGGTGATGGCGGTAACAGAGGCACCCCACCTGGTTTTAAGTGAAGACCTAGGGAAACGTTTAGGCAGGTGGGAGTCAGTACGGTTTAAGTCCTGTTTCAGGCCAGTCTATTTGGTTTAATGGCTATGGACGTATGGGTTTGTGTTTGGGGCTATGCCGTGTCGCTAATTACTTTCGTTTCAGGTTTGGTGACATGGTTGGTGGGTCATTCTTATATCTAAGGGGCACAGATGGGAGCCGCGTTTCAGTTCAAACGTAACTGGGCTTTCCTTTGAAATTGGTGGAGCAGGAGTGGTTTTGTTTTTCAGGGATTTTGGTGGCAAGACATTAGGGGAGACATTTTTCCGGGAGGTAACAAGGGGTACTTTCCAGGATATTCTGGATATTGGCATGGTCCCGAAAAGGAATTGATCAGGTGGAGGCAGAGGGAGGTGGACCAGCTATGGGAGCTGGCCACGGGTGTGGTGGTGGTGCGGTCCGAGATGGTTCCTTGGTTACATTGGAGACATACTACGTACCTGGCCGTGGTAGCTCGGTGTCGAGGACGACTTAATAAAAAATTGATGGCGGTATTTATCAGATGTGGGGGCGGTGTAACAGTGAGACACAACGAATTGGGAGGAAAGCTCCCTGGGTACTCCAGGTGGGATGGGGTACATTTTCGGATGTAAGGTGTGATCTGTTTAAATTGGGCCTTCAGGAAGGCATTCAACAGGCCTTATTCCGGTGTGGTGGGGGTCGTTCAGGAGCTTTAGGTGTCAAGTCCTGAGCTGTGGCGGGGAATGGCCTGGTTAAATCGGAGGGTAGATGGAGGAGAAAGTGGGCATCCTGAGGTTTAGTGTGGATTGGGCAGTGTTGCACGTGGTTGGTAGGTTCGAGCCCGTCGGTGGCTCCGAACCTGGGGGTGTGGTGGTGTCTTGGTACACCCTACACTGGAACTGGTGGGTAGCGGTGTCTTGGTACACCCCTACAATGGATATGGTGGGTAGCGGTGTCTTGGTACACCCCTACAATGGATATGGTGGGTAGCGGTGTCTCGGTACACCCCTACAATTTAACCTGGTGGAAATGTGGTCAAATTGGACGGCCAGTTTCTGTGTTAACATGTTATTTATATTGTTATCTATTGTTATTATTGTGGGGTCATTGCTAGGGGTATGTTATGTATATGGGGGAGGTTAACATTATTAAGATTTGTTGGCAATGACCCCATTTGTTATTCCTTAATTATTTATTAATAATTTAATAAAGCTGTGGACAAATTATTTCCAACAGTATAACCTGTGTCCGTGTTTTAATGGGGGTTGGGGTAAGGTTAGCGCATATGCCGGCAAATCCGACTGTGCGCCTGTCATGTAGCCCATGGATCAGCGCAGCTAAGAGGTATAGGCCTTGACAGAGCCAGGAGGTAGGCATAGCAGCCACAGGAATTTAGTGACAGCTAGCATGCTGGGTAGGGCGGAGCCATAAGGGGAGTGTTTATACCAGCCATTATGTGAAGTGGCCATTTTAACTGAACCTAAGCTTACCTGTCAGTTGTCCCTCCCACCCTCCCTGTATTTGGTTAGGTTAGTTGATTTCCCGTTTTTTCACAGCGGCGGGGAATGGCCTGGTTAAATCGGAGGGTAGATGGAGGAGAAAGTGGGCATCCTGAGGTTTAGTGTGGATTGAGCAGTGTTGCACGTGGTTGGTAGGTTCGAGCCCGTCGGTGGCTCCGAACCTGGGGGTGTGGTGGTGTCTTGGTACACCCTACACTGGAACTGGTGGGTAGCGGTGTCTTGGTACACCCCTACAATGGATATGGTGGGTAGCGGTGTCTTGGTACACCCCTACAATGGATATGGTGGGTAGCGGTGTCTTGGTACACCCCTACAATGGATATGGTGGGTAGCGGTGTCTCGGTACACCCCTACAATTTAACCTGGTGGAAATGTGGTCAAATTGGACGGCCAGTTTCTGTGTTAACATGTTATTTATATTGTTATCTATTGTTATTATTGTGGGGTCATTGCTAGGGGTATGTTATGTATATGGGGGAGGTTAACATTATTAAGATTTGTTGGCAATGACCCCATTTGTTATTCCTTAATTATTTATTAATAATTTAATAAAGCTGTGGACAAATTATTTCCAACAGTATAACCTGTGTCCGTGTTTTAATGGGGGTTGGGGTAAGGTTAGCGCATATGCCGGCAAATCCGACTGTGCGCCTGTCATGTGTTTTTGAAACATTTGAACACAATAGTTGGATTTTACAATGACATATGTCAAAAAGCTCAGTTAAACTCCAGGCACTGGTTGTCAGAAGTCCCAATGTATTAAGCAATTTATTGTTAGATACTGTCTATAAAACAGCACCTGTAACAAGGATAAACTCTACAAAAGTACACATGCTCTCGACTTCACAAGCACAAAATAGTACAAGGATATTAAAATTATTATTCCTGAGAACAGGGAAGTGTTTTTTTATAAACATATTTTTACTACTGTAACTGCATGTAATATTTGTTAATAACCTCAAGCATTGCTAATTGATTTCAAAACTTTTGAAATCATGACCTCTTATGCGGTTCAAGGACAATGTGACAACACTCAATTTTCACTTTTCGTTTTTCAACAATTTTTTTTTCTACATTTAATAAAGTGTAATTATTTTTTTTTTTAAATTATGTATATTGATTTTTTTTGTTTAGAAAATGTGTTCTTTTTAGCTGGCTGAGCGGCCATGTTGGGTCAGACTCTACTGTTATGTGACCAACTGTTGCTCATACAGAGCAATCAAAGCAGCAGACAAGTTAGGTTGAGCAACAGTTGGACAGATAACAGCAGAGTCTGGCCCAAAATGGCTGCTTAGTCATATCTAAAATTGATAATTTTTTTCCCATAAAATCAATATACATCTTTTTTTTTTTAAATTCATACAATTTTATTAAATGTCGTAAGCTTTTAGTAAACGGTAAGCAAAACTTTTATAACAGTTGTCCTTCAAGCCCTTCAAATAAAAGGTATCATGTTTAATTTAATATTATTGAACAAAGATTTTGTCACCAGATGAACATGAAATGTAAATTATTTCCTTTACTATTAATATTCTAAAAAAAAAAAGTAATTATATTAGCAGCTAATTTGAGGAATAATTACACTGATAGGGATAGACTATAGAAGTTCTGATTTTACAGCCATAAAATATAAACAAAGCATAGTGTGCCCGTCTGCATCCCCATTAGATAATATTTCAGTCAGGCCAAGTAATAAAACACATTAAACACATAAAAGTGTAGTATGCTTGATAAGTAGTAGAAATTACTAAGGCCTAGTAAAGTGATCTGTAATAATGAAATTTGCTCATAAAATTTTTTGCTTAACAGATTTTTTGC